ACCAACGAATAGTGGGATTGACCGTCACATTATAACGCCCCCACGGCTGAAAGGGCGAGCATGTTTGGTGTGCCAACTTCTTTTTCTGAGAGAAAAGTTTATATGATCGCAAAACAACTTAGTGACATTTAACGGATCATTATATTGTATTTATAAATGAAGAGCACATTTTTATTACAATTTGTTCTCACGGCAGATTTTAGACTTTAAGTAAGGAGGGTTTTAAAAATAAAACACCTTTATAGTGACTAAATATTCTTAAACACGATTTCGATTAAAACTGGAATAAAATACAAATTCTCCTTTAATTTTAAAATGTCAATTTATTTTTCATTATCTTTTGTTTATAGATATTTAACATTGTTTTCACGCAGCATTTTAATTAATAACCCAAATAACACATTGATATCACATTAGTTTGAAAAATTCACAGAAATTTCATTTGCTACTTGTAGTATGTCTTAGCAGCTTATGGAAAAAATTGTCGTAATAATAGTAGTTTTGGAAAAATAAGTCCATTTACTACACTTTAATAAGCAGAAGATAATAGACTTTACATGAAGAAAATGAAGAGCGCGCTATCTATTGACAGATAAAGAAAGTCGTAAAATAGGTACTTTTAGCCAAATTCAATGTTTTTGTACATGCAATATTTTTTAGGTCGTCAAGACATTAACATCAAATTGGTGTAGCCTGTATAATGTGTAAAGGTTAGTATACTCTTATCTCTTATTGTGATGACACACATTCGGCATGTAATGCTGTTTGAATACAAGAAGGGAAACAATGCTTCTGAAGCCACAAAGAATATGAAAGAAGTTTATGGAAATGTACTGAACGTTCGTAAGTATCAACGATGGTTCAGCAAATTTCGTTCAGGTAACTTTAGCTTTAAAAACTGTGATGGGAGGGGGCCGAAATGCTGGAATTTATCTTGATGCTCTGTCCATTTTTGGACAGAATATTAAATGCCAAAAACAAAAACTACTTCCAACCCCAAACCTGCAGTCCATCCACAGAAAGTAATACACATTGGTACGACATTAAAGAAGTAATTCATTTCGAACTCCTCAATCCACAGTGAACTGTCAATGCAGAGATTTATAATCAGCAACTGGAATGTTTAAATCAAGCCCTTCATCTTAAACGCCCAAAAACAAATCCTCTTAGTACTAACACAAAATATTTTTAATGAAAGAAAGTAAGGTTGCGCCATCTGTTGACAGATAAAGAAAGCCCTAAAATACGTATTCGTTGCTAAAATTAATGTTATTATAGATGCAATAAATACTTTTAACGATTAAAATAAATGTTCTAAGTCTACTTTTGGATTACTTTGGAGGCCAGTGAAGATGGACTGGTTTCTCCTGGATGGTACAATTACCCCGGAGCGATAGACCGACATAAAGGGTGATTTATAGACCCCACGTTTTTCACCTCCAACCCAACTCACTGTGTGTGCACACAATCAATAACCCAAGACCAGGGTAAGAGAATTAATAGGATGGACACTCTACGGATCATAGGTTTGAAGTATAGTACCACGCACGCACGCCTGCCCACCCTCCTATCCGGATTTTAACAATTTTAAACCCGTAAACTTACTTCTGAGAAATGTAGGAAACTTGATGATTCTGATGATTCGAATCATTACGTAATAATAGCCTGTATGAAACTTGTAAACAACGAAACAGATGATTACAATCATGACGTAATAATAGCCTGTATGGAACTTGTAAGCAATTGAACAAATTAATAGAATTGTGGCGTAATAATAGCATGTATGCAACTTGTAAACAATGAAACTTATGATTAGAATCAAGACGTAATAATAGCCTGTATGAAACTTGTAAACAATTAAACAGATGATTAGAATAATGACGTATTAATAGCCTGTATAATAGTCAAGTTACATCTATCATACTATAAATAAACCACACCAAGCGACATCTATCATATTAAACATGTTACTAAGGATAAATAATTCATGGATCGTAAGTTTTCAAGTGTTGTATACTAGAAACCTTCATCTGATGTATCAACTCCAGCTTCGTTAAAACAGAATGTAGCGTAACTCACAGGGTAATCAGAAACTAGAAGACAGGAGAATGAGAATTACTCAGTTCTACTCAGCTAGTGTAATATTAGACTCGTAACGAAACAAGAGCTGATCAGTTAGATGTTTATACTCGTAATATGTCAATTACATTACATTATAATTACATTATATTACAATATATTACATTAAGTAGATGTTCTTCTCCAATCTGGTGAAATTTTTAACATATAACAAAACTGGTTCTCATACAGTGTCTGATTGAACTAAGAACTGACATAATCTAATAAAACTGGTTCTTATCAAGTGTCTGGTTTGACTCAGAACTGGAATAATATAATAAAACCGCTAGGAAGTGAGAATACTGTTAAACTGGTTAAAATAGGTAATATAATAAAACCGCTAGGTAGTGAGAATACTGTTACACTGATTAAAATAGGTAACACAATAAAACCACTAGGTACAGAGAATTATGTTAAATATATGTTAATGAGATTATATATTTCCCAATGAAACATTTTCATATAAAACTATAAAAATACACTAAAGAGGGAAATCGAATACTGCATGTGTGAAGTTGAAATAGAATAATAATGATATTATATTACAATATATTACATTACATTATATTATATTACAATATATTATGTTAAAATATATTACAATTCTGTGAACTTCCAGACAAGCAACAAAATCTGATGGATTAAATCTTTTGTTCTAGATATGTCTTGCTGGACAATAAACACACTTCCAATAAAGTTTGTTTATTTGTAGTTAAGCACAAAACTACACAATTGACTGTCTATGCTGTGTTCACCACGGGTATCGAAACCTGGTTTCTAGCGTTATAAGTCTGCAGACTTACCGCTCTGTCGCTGAGCAGCTCCAATAAAGAATCTCGTTTTCATACACCCGTCAAACTTTAGGTTCTTCCGACAGAAGGAGCTGATTCGTCGTTTTTGCAGTCAAGAAACGCCTGAAAAGTCGTATCTCAAGGCCTATGGTCAGTGTACGTTGTTTTCTTAAAACTCTCTATCTATTATATATTATAGTGTATTGGAACTCAATAAATATTTTTTATAGCATCCTACTGTTCTTCTTAGATACTAAAGTTAAATTATAAAACGATAGATAAATAATTAAAACAAGCACGTTATATAATAAAACACGCTACTATTCTAATAACTGGTATTCAATATAGATTAATATAATAAACATTATCATGCTACTTCATCCCTGAATAACATAATAAACTATAGATAATTTATCTCGACGATAACGTTGTATACGTTAATACAATGATGAACTATAATATCCTTATGGTATGTTTTTATTGTTACGTTTACTTTTATTTGACAACAAATGACAATGCATCATCTACTTATATATCGTTCTACTGTATTTTTAATGTACTAAGAATATTGGTGTTCCTGCTGCCAAATACTCATCTTGAAGCTACCAGAATATAACTATCACATCATTAAAAATAATTTTACCAATAGATGCCGCTGTTACTGAAAATATCTCGAATATGATGCTAAATGTGTAAGATACCTTAATCTCTGTAATATCTCGTTTTATTAACACAAAACGAGTGTTATTATTCATAACACAATATTATATCATTAATTCGTCTTCCCTGAAGTGGATTCTAAACATCTCAAATGTCAAGAGAGTTTCATAATGTTATTGAAACAAAATAAATGTTCATAGGGTCATCTAATTGAAGAAACTCTGGTCAGCAAGTCCACAAAGTTAGCAAGTAAGTTCTTAATTCAACATGCTGTTCAATCATAGGGAATGATTTAACATTACTTGTACACTGCTTTTCCTCCTTATTTACCTTTCATTGAAAATTCCTAGTTAGTAGTTAATATACTTTAGAAGATAGAACTTCTCGGGTTTTTAAGTTTGAAGGACTGGGTTTTTCAATTTATATTTTTTGGAATTTTGCGATTTGTAATGATTGGAATTTTCTACTTTCTATTTGGTTTTATAAGTAGCTACAATATTTCCATTTTGAAAATGTTCACGTTGGAGCTATTAGTAATTTTCAGCTTGATGTTATTGAAATTTTGACTTTTTAACTATTGGAAACGCTTCAAGTTGATGTCGATAAAATGTTTCGATTTAGAGTTATTGTAAATTTCAAAGTTGATCTCATTTAAATTATTCGAAATATCAAATTTGATGTTATCGAAATTTTATAAAATTTGTATTTATTGTTAACTAGCTGAGTTACCTGGCGTTGCACGGTGAAAATTTAGATTTGAAATGTATAGAGCGGTATTTTTCAGCAAATTATTCAGTAAGTAGACAAAAACTATGATGCGAGAAATAAAAAAGCATTTTATCAAACAAAGCTTTATTTGAAATTAGATCATGTTTGAACTTGTCTTGTTCTTTGAGCCTGAAGTCGTACATCATGTTGCTCCTCTGTTTCTTCCTCTCTGTAAGTTATTTGTCTTAATTTTTGTGCTTGAAGTCTGGTTTGACGTTATTCAGAAGTTTCTTGTTGTCTATATCCAGCTTTCCTTGATGATTTTGACTGAACTCTGGCTTTGTGCTGTTCAACAGTTTCTTGCTGTCTTTGAGTAGCCTGCCTTTCAGTTTGGGCTCAAAGTCTAACTTTACGTTGTTCCAAAGTCTCTCCCTATATTTGAGAAGCCTGTCTTGCAGTTTGTGCTTGAAGTCTTTGATTGCGTTCTTCTTTTATTTCAGCTGCTCTTTGTGCTTGCATTCTTCTAGCGACAGAAGATTTTCCATAGAAAGGGCGTTTCTTGGGTGGCATAATCACCTGTATCACTAAACAATAATTTGCAATTCACAAAGTTACTAAATCACCTAGCACTCTTTAAAGAAAACTGTTTTTGGAAATACTGAATTGACAGCAAGGTGATCTGAGTGTTTCCCGCTA